GAACAATCTGAGCATCACACAGGAACAATCTGAGCATTACATGCGAACAATCTGAGCATCACACAGAGGTGGACACTTTCTCTGGCTTCCGTGAGGGAGGGAGTTGCCAGTTTTCCTCAGCATGGGAATCAATCTGATTTCACCACCCGAGGAGAGGCGAGTGGTGAGGCCTTGGGCCTAAGCAAAGAGGAGTATTGTAGCAGAGACCCCCTTCCCCTGCAATAAAGTAGAACCTTCAAAGGGACACACATCTGAATGAAGGGTAGACTGGGAAAAAATCACTGATGGGCAAATGGGGATTAAGAGAAAGCGTGTCTAGTCTGGCCTGTGCTACTAGGGAAACATGTTCTCTGAGATTCACAAACATGATCTGTCCTCACTGTTTTGGAGTTCATATTAAAATACACACACGACTGTGGGTAACACCATACTGAACTAAGAACATAAGAAGTGGCCTTCCATTGGCAACACCTCTGAGGCACCAGCAGAAGCAAAAGAAAACCTCTTTGGAGAGAGTATACCCTCAGATAAGAGCTTGTCGGAGCCGCATGGGTTTGCTAGCCATGATCCTGAACTTGAAAACCCATAAGGAAATGTGCCACCATTTTCCCGTATTTCTGTGTTAACATGCACAGAAACCAGAAATAACGCAGAAGGGAGAGGCAGCATGGTTTAATGGCTAGCGTAGCCTCTGGAGCCAGCCGTAAGGAATGGCTTTGTTGATGTACAGCTAGCTGCGTGACCTCATGCAAGATATCTAACCTCAGTTTTCTCATCTGTAAAATGGGAATTACTATAGTAATCTATCTCCTAGGGTGGTTGTAAGAATTAAAAGAGCTAATATAGGAAAAGTCATTAGAACCAGAACTGTGCCTGGCATATAAGCAGTACTAAAAAGGGTTAGCTGCCTTATGATCACCACCACCAGCCTCATTATTATTACAGCCAGGTCACAGTATCCCATCTATCTCACCAGGCTGATTTTTCTCCAAACATGCCCATATGCATATCCATCTGGCCGGGAATTAAATCTTGAGATAAAACTAGCAACTACTCATTTAAAACGGATGTGATGTCACATGTGGTTCCTTGGTTGAGAAGCAGCAGAACTAAGAACTGCAGGAAATTTTAATGGGCAGCAATTAAACTATCTGATTACAAGACAAGTTTTTAGAATTTGTATTTACTTTTTTTTTATTTTTAGATAGTCTTAAATACAGAGGCACTGTCACCCCATCCCTAGAACCTCCCGCATCCCTGGCCCCACACCAGTAAATACTCACCACCAGGCTACTTCTGGCGACTGGGAAATCAGCAGGGTTGGAAGCTGCCTCACCAGGGTTAGGGGAGGAAGCTGCCTCTCCAGGTTTCTGGTGGGAAACTTGGCACTGTCAGCTCTACAATTAGAGCCAAGGAGGAAACCCCTCAGCGCCCCATCATCTTACTCTACCTTCTGATGAATTTCAGCTTTGTCCTCTGAAAAATGGGACTGACATCTACCTTTTCGTGTGATTGGGAAAAATCAAGTAATATATATATTTTCAAACAAAATAATTTGCATTTATTTTATGGCAATAATTCTTTAGATTTGTGGTACTAGTATTTACTTGCTTTGTCTTTACTGAAGGACAGATGACCACCTGTTTATCTTGTCTCCTTGAACACTTAGCATAGTATCTTACACATATTAGGATTTCCACTTGTTCATTCATTCAACAAATACTCTTTGAGCATCTTAGATGTATTGTGTGCACTGTAATAAACATTTAATGTGTGTGTGTGTGTGTGTGTGTGTTTTAATTAAAATTTACTAAATTGACCTTTGCAATTGCTCTCACCACGTATTCAGCTTGTGGACATGACTGTAAAAATACATGTGACCTCCAGCAGTGCCAGGAAGTCTGTATAATACAACCTACCCAGGCTTAACTTATTAAACAGGACAGAGATGCACTGTATGGCACTGGAGATGGGGTGCTAGTGACATGGCCTCTAATGAATGTGTCAATAGTTCATTGAACACGCGTCCATTATGGTCCTCAAGGATGTATCTTCTGCTTGTTTGCAAATCTGTCTCATCCACTAGACTGTGAGTCCCTGAGAGCAGTGACTACATATTTTTCATCTTTGTATTTTTCTCTGTCTTAGAAATAGCACAGTGCCTGCATTTAATAGATGCTCAATGAAGAGGTTTTTGATAGAATGAAGTACTAGAAAGGATGGTGAAACTTTTTTCTTTAGGCTGCTATAATTTTCAAAAATATATCCATCAACTGTATTTGTATTCATTTAGTAGAGAGTGTTTGAATGCCTACCATGAGCTGTTATTTACCGTGCTAAATGCTGTCACGAACCATACTATGCTGCCCACCTGGATTACAGCTGGAATGCATCGTTTTGTTTTTTTCTTTTCTGAGATTTACTATTTAAGAGGCCTTCAGACAAATGGGAAATGCGTTTTGTGGAGGTCAACCAAGTTATGAGAAAAAGATCCTTTCAACATTAGCCATCAGTAGCCAAACAGCTGAACTTGATATTAGTTTATCAAATCCAGACCTATGGATTTCCCAAGCTTGCATCTTGCAATATAAATTAAGTTAAACCATGAACACTGGGGGTAAAAAAAAGACTGAAAAGTAGCCAACTGTTAAATGCTAATAGGGGCAGGATGCCATACCCTGGAATTACTCTGTTGATTCTACAGTTGGATTTAATTTAACATCAGGTGGTTGGAAAATCCAGCTAGTAAATTAGTCTAGTGACCATCTTTTTCTCTAATTTCTGGAAAATCTGTTCATTAAGAAAACTTTTTAAAAACACATTCTTCAAAGACAGTTGCAAATTCTAGCAGCTTTCCTGAATGACATGCTGATCCTGAATCTCATACTTGATATTTAAGTCCATCTTAAATAAATGAATTAGCAATAGCATTTATAAATAACTTTGTTATATCAGAAAGATATTCACCATTATGAAAAACTACAGCATAGACTTTATTAGCACTACACTTAAACAAGAAAGCAAGGCTCCTGAATGCACCTGATAATTAATAAATTACTTCCAAAACCTCTTTGATAAAAAGTATTCAAAGATTCAATCACAGGTCAAAAAATGAAACAGTATTTTACTATTAACCAGTATTATATTTATTTAATAACAATATGAAAGCATGAAAACACTCAAATTTCAGAAAACAGTCTCTGCTTATTTTTACATCAATCTGATCCATTCCACCCACTGAAATACCATTAAGAAATACTGGAATTATAATATGAAGTACAGTATAAAAATATATGCTACATGGTATTTTTTTTTTAAAGAAATAGAAAAATGTCACTGCAAAAGACATGTTAACACCACAAAAACTTTAAGCAGAAATTCAAAACGTTACATCTTGTGCTAAATATATATATTCTTAGTATTCTGCAGCAGGTCTTTGAATCTCCGGAATGCAGGTAAGTAAAAATGAAACGTTTATATAGCTAAAATTTTTGAATACTTATTGTCTTATTTTCTATATAAAATGTCATACATCATTACAGGAAACAATCTATGTGTCTGTTCAAGATTGCAACTGCATTTCCAAATATAAGGCAGAAGAATTACTATTTTAGAAAGCAACGGCTTTAAATTTTTTTTTAGTAGCATATAAAAATTAACATTACAAGAAACTTTTACCATGAAAGTTTGAATATAACTCAAAAATGAGGCATCTTTCTTTTACTTAAAAACGAATTGTGGGCTAAGGCCCCCATCTCAGAAAAACCACAGTACAGAATACTCAGGCTTTTTTTAATTTAATACCGAGCAGAAGAATGTATTTCTATTCCACGTATTGGCTGTGTTGAAAGAATACAGTCCATGTCCAGATAGGTAGCTAAAGTGCAATAAAGGTAAGTTACTTAGAATATATTCATTTATACACTATGCTTGTAGTTAATACAAACAAGTACAATTGATATGGTTATCTGTCACCGTATAGATCCTATATAATCTTTACTGATAAGCTGTGGATCACAGAGAAACAGCATGACTGCTCCATTTCATTTTGTTCTTGGGAAAGATACAGATTTATCTATCATGTAAACAAAAAGCAGTGAAGCAATATTAAGCCACGTGAGAATTTGTAGTTTTCACTTTTATAAAGTGCTACACAGGACGTCACATTAAAACATTTGAAAACAAAACTCCGACTCTTGCCCTTAGAACAGCACAGTAATTATCAAGGATCTTCTTGAAAAATACAAACGTATCTCCTTCTCTGTGTCACATCAAATGAGAGACAAAGAAGTCACAGGCAGTCTCAGAGAGCAGGCCAAACTTCTTAATTTATACTTAAGGCATCAGTGACCCAGAGAGGTTAAACGTATTAAATGCAAGCTTCTTGTAAGAGCCCTGAGGTCCCTAATTGCTCAGAGATTTTGTTTGACTACGGTCAGCTCTTCTCCTGATAGTCTGATCCTGTTATCATATATAAACAGCTCCTGATTGTCCTTGATAATGAATGAGGCAATAGGCATGGAACCTATACATCTTATGATAAAAAATAATACGTTTGATTTTGTAATAGAATCAAAGTTTATAAGCTTTGCAAAAGGAGGTTTTGATATACGAGTGCAAGTAAAATCGTCCTTGTACAACAAAAAGAATATTTCTGTCTTCCTTCCTTTTGTTTTTTAAAGACGAAGAGTATCATTGTCCTCATCTGGAATCAAGTCTGTCTTCAGTGACAGGCCATGCTGACAGACAGGAGAGGGTAGGAGAAGGCTGGAGATGGAAACCACATTCCTCTATTCCAACAAGAAGGCTCCCCAAAGCCAACTTTTTCACTACCTAGGAACGTAAGAGCTCTGGAACGCATTTTCCCTTATCTCATGTTTACAGTGTTTTCAAGCCTATTGTGTCTCTGTGTACTTGGTTAATGAGTTAGCGCTTTTTCAGGGTGAACTCCTGTCTACCAAGTAGACAGATCCTCAATTGAAACACACATTTATTTTGTGTTGTTGCACCCATACTCTCAGCCTACTTGTCAAAGCCAACATCCTATAAAAAAATCTGCAAAGCAGAGAAATATACTTGCAAATAACTTGAGGGTTGACTGTAAGTCCAATCCAGTTTTTAAAAATTTTTTAAATTAACCATTCATTGTTGATTTGCTGTGTCCCTCTGGCTTCCTGAATTTTGTTCTGGAGATCTTTCAAAATACATGAAGTCCTAGAATTGGAAAAAGAATGATGTATAGATATTGATCAATTATTAGGTGTCTATGCAGAACATTTCTGTTTGATTAACAGTTATATTTACACAGGAAAACAGGACTAGAACAAAATAATTTTTAAAAGAGTAATCAAATTTAAAGGATTACTCCCATTTTTTAAAAAATAAGAGGACAGTTTGATACTGTCCTGTTGTTATATAAACTAATATATATTACAAGGATATCTTTTAGTTATGTTTAAAGTAATTTATGTAATGTTTAAGCAGAAGTAGTTCATGTGTCAGCAATTTATAAAGCAGAAAAGTACTACAGGAATGAAAAGCGTTTTCAACATTAATATTATATAAGACAAAAGCTATACTCAGAATATTATCCTTTTAATATTGAGCAATCTCCCATTCAAGCTAAGAATAAATAAATCTAATAAAATCTTGACGAAGACAATCTAATATGAAGAGCAGCAATTGCAAACTTGGAACGGACAGTAGCCAAAAGCTTTCCATTTTAGGTATGAATTTACTAAATTTTCATTGTTAAAAGGAAGAAAAAACTTGAAACATGATGTTTTAAATTTATCAACTGCTATGTTTTAATTAGGTTATTAAGGTAAATATTATCAATTTTATTTAAATAATATTCTTACATATTTAAGAATATTAACCATAAGTGTGTCAGGAAAGGCCAATGGAATTCTAACAAATCCAAGGATGATACACCACCAAGGGGTACACTGATGGAAACCCATTAAGGAGGAGGGGAAGGAAACCAGCTTTGGAATTACTTTATTTCATTAAGAAATCACAGGATAGATATTTTTAAATAGTAAGAATGATAAATAGCATGGAACGATGACAGTTACCACCCATTAGATGCGTAACACGTTCCAAGCACTCTGCCGGCCCCTTTGCATATATGACAGCTAATATTCGTAACTCGGAAAAAGAAGTGTTTTAATCTCCATTTCACGGATGAGGAGACTGAGGCTTGCACATGAAGCACTTTGGAAAAGCCATGTAACTAGGAAGTGGCACAGCCAGGAGCTGTTGCACTTCCAAAGCTTATTCCCTTTCCGCTCCACCACACTGCTTCTCATCAGAAAGAATAATTCCTTCAGGGTAACTCAAAAGGGAAAAGCTTACAATGAGGAAGCAGGCTCCAAAGATCATGGCTTTCATCTTCACATCCAGGTCTAACGGGAAGTGAATGTCAAAGTGGTCGGCATCTGCCATGGCCGACAACAGACCATTCCACTTCCTAATAATATTACCGATGTTAAACACACCATCGAGGGACTGGATCTAGAAAGACAAGAATGGGACTTTATGATCATGGAAAGTTACTAAAATACATTTTACTCTTCTATTTAGAAGCCGTTTACACTGAAATAACATAAATAGGGTGCAGGAAAAGGGTACATAATTACATAATTTCAAATGAGGAACTTAGGCCAGAAAGAGTTAAGTGTCTTCCAACTGATTAATACCTGAGCTGGGGTGTATTTTGCAATTCTCAAGGCCAATGCTCTTTCTTCATCCTAAAATGAGTCATTCAGGAGGAAGTATGATTTGAATTGATTCTTAAATTCTATTTGATATAGCCAAGGGTTGGGACTGGGGACCACGAGAGAGTCTCTTCCATTCCAAAGAGCCACTATAGAAAAGAGGGGAGGCCTGGCACTGTCACTTCATAAATGCCGTATGATCACTCATATTTTCGGGGGCCAAATTCACCCTGTCTTCTTTAAGGTATCCCAGGACACCAAAGAGTTCAGCTTCTAAAACAGAGACCCTGACACTTGCCACAGTGCAAATACCCAAATGCTAATTCCCAATGTCACGTGGTGAGGGGAACAATCCTCTTCCTCTCCATGATTTGGCTTATCTATAATGTCTGTTTCTTTTCAATGGCCTTTTATGAAATAAGCAATGCCAAAGGAACCTGGGTGGCACAAGCAGTTGGTGAGACTGGCTGCTAACCTAAAGGCTGGTGGTTTGGACCCACCCAGGGGATCCATGGAAGAAAGGCCTGGCAAACTGCTTCCACAAAGATTATTGTCAAGAAAACCCTATGGAGCAGTTTTACTCTATACCACATTAGATCACCATAAATTGGAAGAGATTCGATGGCAATGGTTTTTTTTAATGATTTGATGAAATAAATTTAGAACTGAGAAAAGTTTATTGGATGTCTGTCATAGGAAATATCTGAATCAGCAATTTTAGTACATGATGAGCCTTAGTGGATTACAAGACATCCAGAAAGGAATCTTAAGTAGGTGCAGAAAATAGTTCTACATACATTCTTTGTCAGATTTGTAGAGTGATAAAAAGAACCACTTTGCAGCCACTGAGATAAAGAAAAAACAGAAGTGTTTTCTTTTCACTTTTTGAGAAAATACTATGATCTTTTATGAGTTTTATCCGTGTTATTAATGTTGTCCTATTTTTGAGGAAGTATAGAGACTTCTGTCCTACAACCAAGCAATCTGCATAAACTCATGAGCGCTCTATAGGTTCTGTGATCAAGTATGGAGCAGTTTGATAATTTAGTACCAATATTCCCAACCTTGAAATCTTTGGAAAAAATGATTAATTAAATGCAGCCAAATATAAACTAAAAGATAAGGTCCATTTACTCTCAGAAGGTTTAATGTGCTAAATGGTTTCTTATTCTGTTTTCTTCATCAAGCAATGAGATCATGATAAAGGAGCTCACATTTTGGGAGAAATCAAGCAATCCACTAACAATAATTTGAAAATCATTTGATGTCAACCGATTCTCTTTCCTCATTCTACTTTATCCATTCTATGAGTGATTTGGTAAATCACATTTCATTCACATGAAAAAAAATGATCTAAAATCAAATAATTCTGATGTCTACTAGTACATGTAAGAAAATACTAGATTAAGATTCCAAAAAACCAAATCCATTGCCATCGAGTCTAATTCAGTCTCACAATGACCCTATAGGGCAGAGCAGAACCGCCCCATAGGGTTTCCAAGGCAGGCTGTAAACCTTTTTGGAAGCAGACTGCTGCATCTTTCTCCTATGGTGTGGCTGGTGGGTTTGAACCTCCAACCTTTCGGTTAACAGCCAAGCGCTTAACCACTGTGCCACTGAAGCTCCAGATTAAGTTTAGGTTACCTCAAAAACAGAATCCGAACCACAGCCATAGGTTGAGCACGGCCCAAGCACTCTCATCACACTCTCTTTCTTCTCATTTTGGATGCTGTAAACGGCCCTGCACAGGTTCCAGTGCTCTGCAACATAGCCAATGGTTACGCCAGGAGGACACTGTACCTCCAGCTGCAAACAGCCAAGACAGAGGACAGGATGTTACATACATATATATAGTACATACACATGGATACACATACATACGTATACACATACATGCATACACACACAGCCTAGATGTATTCTTAAATCATGGTAGGACTAGGGAGATAATTGATGAGAGTCTTCCAGGGATCGCTCTCACTCCTCTATGACTTGCTGGGTGTGCAAAGCCCAGACCACTCTTTACCTGAGTTATTTCTCAGGGTTGTATTTGCAGAGAGCAGCCTTGAGGGATGAGGTCATGTCTCCCTTCAGGACAAAGCAGGACTGATTGATTACTGCTTGCTATAAAATGGCCAGTTCTCAAGCTTGGCGTTCCTAAGTTGCATAAATAGTAATCACCTGGACTCCTCCATCTTGCCCCTGCAGGACTTGGAGTTATGGGAACTGATACAAACACACTGATGCTCATACTGCTTGCTGTGCCATAATTACATCCTTTGTCTCTAATTTAGGAGTCTCCTGTCTTCTGACAGAATCCAGGAGTCAGTAACAAGCTAACTTAATAGCTTTTAAGTAGGGTGAAATCAAATCTCAGACCTGACAATTATAACAGAAAACAAAAGAGGAAAGAGGCATCCCGAAACTGTATATTGTGAAGTCAAAAGCGTGTGAGTACATAAAGCCATTTTAGGTTTACAAAATATTATCTACAACCCTCTTTCAGTTTAATTATCTTCACAATATTCCTTACTCGGCTACTAATCAAAAAGTCAGCAGTCTGAATCCACCAGCCGCTCCTTGGAAACCCGACGGGGCAGTTCTACTCTGTCCTATAGCGTCGCTATGAGTCGGAATCGACTCGACCGCAATGAGTAGCAGTATTAAGGTCTTACTATTTTATAATAACAAAAGGGTCATAAAGATTAAGTTATTTGGCACAAGTCCAATGCAAAGGTTCTGACTATTTCTACGGTGTCATATCCACTTTCCTAAGAATTTTGGGTCCCCTAGGTCATCATAAGGCAGGACCACTCAGCTTCACTGATTGTCAAATCAAGATACCATCGTTCACATATACATACACACATACATATAAATTTAATAGCTTCCTAGAACTAAGAGCTCATCTAAGTTGTAGAAAAATACTTGTTTCAAAGTTGAGATTATAATATACTACTCAGCCATAAAGAATGGATAAATTATTGATACAGGCAACACCTTAGATGAATCTCAATGTAATGAGTGAAAAAAGCCAATCCCAAAAGGTTAGATATTCTGTAATTCCATTTCTACAAAATTTTGAAATAACAAAATTATAGAAACTGAGTAAAGATTAGTGGTTGCCAGAAGTTAGAGATGAAGGTAGGGAGGAAGGTGGGTGTGGTTATAAAAAGGGATTTTTCTGGTGTGGAACTATTGTTTACTTGTATTGTGGTGGTGGATACAGGAACCTACACAGGTGATAAAAATGCCTAGAACCAAATATACATACTACACACACACACAAAAATAAGTACAAATTAAACTGAAGAATTCTGGGGAAAAAAATCTAGATAATGTGAGACAAAGGTTGATTCACTGATTACTGCGTGTAGGCACAGTTCTAAGCAGTTGACATTTATTTACCACTTAATCCTCAAAAACAATCCTATGAAATAGGTACAACCATCATCTCCATTTTACAGGTGAAGAAATCAAAAGTTTGTAAATAAACTAACATTTGATAAAGGATGGTACTTCATATGTCATTTGAATATTCCGGTAATCTTATGGAGCACTGTTCTGCCCATTTTATGAATAAGAACATGAGGCTCAAAGAGATTAATTGCTCAAATTTAAGTAGGTGGCATACCTGCAATTCAAACTCTGACTGGCTTCTCTACAACTTTTTTTTTCCCCTGTAAGCAACAACCTTCGTACAGTCATAACAGTAACCAAACTATCCAAACCAAACCAAACCCACTGCCGTCGAGTCAGCTCCACCTCATAGCAACTCCACACAGTTTCCAAGGCTTTAAATCTCTGTGGAACCAGGCTGCCACATCTTTCTCCTGTGGAGTCACTGGTGGTTTCCAACGGCAGACCTTTCACTTAGCAGTCGACTGCTTGAACCATTATGCCACAAGGGCTCCTTACTGTAACTATACCAAACTATAACTGAGCACATTTGCCTACCAGTTCCAACACTGACACCTTCCAAGTATGAGACACTCATGAGGCACTTAGTCTTTTCCAGCCTCCTTTTATCTGTGGAGGCGTAGTGGTTGAGAACTCGGCTGCTAACCAAAAGGTTGGCAGTCTGAATTCACCAGTCGCTCCTTGGAAGCCCCATGGGGCAGTCTACTCTGTCCTACATGGTCGCTATGAGTTGGAATCGATTCGAGGGCAACGGGCTTTTTTTTTTTTTTTTTTTCCTTTATCTGTAGAAAGGTCTGGGTTCTGATGAGTAGCATAAATGTTAAGTAAAGTCCCTTCCAATTCTAAGAACATACATTTACATTTGAGCCATGCTTTATCTCGAGATAAACAGATATATTTAGATGAATGTACAGGACGATTGTCGATATGCACAAATCTCTCATTCAGTACAGTTAACAGAATAGCGCTTCATTAACTAAACACCCTAATTTAAACTTGACCCACTGACCAGGACCTTCCTCCCACCACCTTCTTCCATCCTTACTGGCAAAGCCTGTGAAAATCCTCCCTTGTGTCATTCTGGAAGGACTACAACCATGCCCTGAAGAGTTGGATGGAAGACAGAATGGGTAAGACTCTGACCTCTTGCCTGGCTGAGGGACAACAGAAGCAACAGCAGGTGCACCTGAAGGGCCTCTGGATTGTCATAATTTCTCTGCCCATACAGTCAGTGACCCGGAGGACGAAGGGTCTCAGTGTCCGATAAGCATTCCTGGTGAAGTCTTCCATATCTTCATTTACAATGTAAACCATCTGGTCTGAGTTGTTTTTAACATCATATCTATTATTAGTTTCAAAGCCTGTTATCACTAAAAAATCAAACGAGAAAGCCCCCTCAAATTAGAAGCTGTTGAAATTGTCCTCAAGAAGTCTTTGTGTAGCATTTCTTTAAGGCTTAAAGCAAAATAGCATTTTAAAAATTTGTAGTGAAACGTATACAAGTGATTAGAACACAAAAATTATTCATAAGTCCTCTAAGTATTTAAAAGTAGTTTTGAAAATTTAAAACAGTTAAGAAGCTCAGTTTAAAATGCTGTTTAAAACTTTCCACATAAAAGATGGAAACTATTTTCTAGAGTAACTGAATTCATAAAACTTTAATTATAAGAATATTTGAATGAAATTATACACTGGACCATCAATTAACCAGCTCATGAAATATGCTAAGAGGACCAGGGTCACTAATAACTACAAACAGGAAAAGGAACCAAGAAAAGGCAAAAGGAAACCAACGTGGAGAGCTGGGGCAGTACAGGGCAGCACTCCTGTCCTAATGGACAGAGAACAGGCTTCATGTTTCCTGGGCTCACTTCTTCTAACTTCCAAAGAAAGGAAACTGGGCAGGAGCTGAATTCTCAATACTAGTTCCAGCTCTGCCACTGACTAGCTGACCAGGGTGCCCCTGCTAATAATTAGTGTCCCGGCTCCTTCATTTCCTCATCTATGAAAGGTGACTGTGGAGAGGCAGAGATGTGTAAAGAGCAGGGATGTTAACCAGACAATAAACAAGGTCCTTTTCATGTCTAAGAAATTATGATTCCACGATGTATAAACAGAGAAATGTATACAAAATAATCCCCTTTATTAACTTCTTGAAGACAATAGAGGATAGTATTTTCTCCTGAACCACTAGAAAATAATCAATATAAAAAAGATTTTGGATAATGCAAATTTCCACCTGTTTCCAATAATGCTGAAGACTACAAAAATCATACATACTTTCCAGAGGCTCAAAATGCTGGAGAACATGTATGTTGTCCAACTGTTGGGATAGAACAGGGTAATTAGGAGAGAGAAAAACAACAAAATTAAATCAAATTAATAGAAAAGAAATGGAAGAAACAGCTATTACAATAAATCCATTGATACTAAAGATAACTTTATGAAGTAGAATGGAATTAATTAAAAATATTTTATCAAGTGAAATTATCTGTCTGTAACTGATCAGACAGTGATTAACACAGCTGCCCAGCTAGGAAAAACACCTTCCTTCAGTTCCACTGTAAAGGACTCAGCCAGTTGCCTAATACATTAGAAAATTACCTACTTGCTACAGTAAAAACATCTAGAAAACGCTATGTTTATATAGATTCTCCCTAGCTGCCCCAACTCCCCAGTCTCTCTGACATCTCACCCATAGACTGGAGTTGTTTAGGATGGTTTTACACAGCCCAGCCAAAGAGAAGCCATTCTCTCAGTGGCTTAGGGAAAGCACATCAGCCAGGAGAGCCTCACACAGGAGGGGCCTATTTTATATTACTTCACAGATACCCCTGAAAGAGAGTAACACAGTGACTTCCATTCACTGGGTCTTCCCCGGGTGCACATTTAATAAGCGGGAGGTCCCAACAGAGCAGCAAGCATCTGAATGAGATTACGAGAAAGAAGAAGAAAAAATTCTGAGATGGGACACCATGATGAGGGAGGATGCAAATACCATTAGATAAACTTTAATCTTCATTTTATTTAGGAATCACTCCCAAGATGAACGGTTTGACTGGTTTTCCATTCTACTTGAGACTATTCTAGCAGAAGGGAAGAAGCCTCCTTGAGAACAGATTGATTATACTGTATGCAATTTAGATCACTCTTAATCCCTATACCCTGAACTCTGCCTGAAATGCCATATCACACTAAATATTTGTTGGATATAATGAATGAAAACACAGATGTCAAAGTGAGTGACATTGAAAGTGACTTAGCTGGACATGAAGGTTTTGTGGTGTGACTGATTATAGGAGGGGACAGAGAGAATACAATCCATGCTTAATTAAAAGACTTTTCTTGTATGACAACATAATCACATAAGAGGGTCTAATAAGCACATCTTATAAAACTTCAAAACTGGCCAATAAAATTGTTTACAGTCCCTTTGAAAACATTTCAGGATATTAAAATCTTGGTAAGAGCATCCACTGCTGAGTAAAATATCCTGAAGTAACGATGTCCTTATGTGGAAGAAGTTTGCCCAATTAGATGTTACAGCTACTCAGGAGCACATCCTTGAGGAGCTGGCGGATCACTAGCAAAGCAAAAACTCTAGTCAGATAATCATAATATGTTGGACTCTAAAGCATCCTGATAGTCCTGATAAGGATCCATGTAACCCATGCATGAGACGTCACTAAGACTAGGGCATATAAAGGAAATGACTATCTTCCACTCACACCCAAAAAGGCATTTAAACTAATAACATCCACCCATCCCTTGAGTGTGTCCTTATCTCATAAGACATAAACCTTATCTCATTAACAATTTTTATAAGAACCTAATAAGGCAGGCATTGGTAGTGCTATTTTATAGATGGTAAATTTGAAGCATTAAGAAGCTAAGAAAGTTATTCAACATTGTAGAGTTAGTAGAGCCAGAATTAAAACCAGGTTTATCTAGCTCTAAACCTGTGTTTTATTTGTTTCTTTTTATGTTTACTTTTTTAAAAATCTAAACATTCCTGAAAGGTAACCCATCAAATATATGAATTTAACCTGTCAGTAATAGAAGTTAAGCAACTATTTTTAAACATTTACTGTTAAATCTGTACGTTTTTAAAAGAGAGAAATGACTCCAGAATATCCTGGAATTTGAAGGGCAATTTCTGTACTTATGGTCAAGTGAAGTCCTTAGTTGGCACAAATGGTTTGTGCTTAACTATTAACGTAAAGGAGCCCTGATGGCACAGTGGTTAACAGTTTGGCTACTAACCAAAAGGTCAGCAGTTTGAATCTACCAGATGCTCCTTGGAAATCCTATGGGGTAGTTTTACTCTGTCCTATAGGGTCACGATGAGTCAGAATCAACTCGAGGGCAATGGGTACTAATATAAAGGTTGGCGGTTCAGACTCACCCAGCGGTGCCCTGGAAGAAAACCTGGTGATCTGCTTCTGTAAAGATTACAGCCAAGAAAACCCTATGGAGCAGTTCTGCTCTGCAACACATGGGGTTGCCATGAGTCGGAATCAACTCAACAGCAAGAGGTTTATCATCAAGTATTAAAAAAAAAGACTTTCTAAACTCAATGATAAACATTTTATAACATTCAGAAATAATGTAGGGTTTTGCTCCAGCACTTCATCTGAATAACAGTTTCCTTTTTTGTTGATATTTTGCGAAAACAACCTAATGAAATTTTTGGTTCATGTAAAATCGAAATTTTCCTGACCTAACCGAATGGATTTCTCAACACTGAACACTATACCTATGATTTTTCAATGAACAGGATTAACAAGGTCCCTATCGATACATGGAAGTGAAAAGAGAAATTTGTCAACTCTAAGAAATTGTTTAACAATGGGAATACTTGATTGACAAGGTGGAGAGACAAGTATTGAATTGGGAAGTCCTTGTTCTCAATACAGATATGGATAACGTATTTCAACACCCCCTTTCCAAGAAAGCAAAACAAAATACAGAAGTTTCTGAGGGGTTTCCAATACTAGCTTTATCATATTTCATTTAAATAACTGTCTTGAGTTTGACATGGGTGTTTAAACCACACCATTTGGTACAGCAACTCTACACAGCACTCCAGTGTTTGACCTAGGTGTCTTGGTGGCTCCAGAATATCTACTGTATTTTTACACAAATAATGTACACCTTCTATGTTTGTTTGCCAACCATGCCCTCCCTTATAATTTCATAAGCGTGCTATAATTTTTTTTACAGTAACATGTAAAAAATATTGGCATAGCTGCAATTATGAAAATACCTCACAGACAAGGATGCATTTGGCAAACAAACATAGATGGTGTGCCTTATTTGCATAAAATTACAGTATATAGAAGGGAGTTAAGGGTTTGTGGGAGGGGAGTTTCTGGGACTTAGCTTAAAGCAATATCCTCAGTAGGCCCCCTATTTTACTTACACTGTATGTTTTTGGGGGTGGTAGGAGTAACTGATGAAAATTATGGGTGATGAGGAAAAGCAATGGGCTAAGACACTCAAGATTCATCCACTGTCTAGTGTTCTGTTCCTTTTTTATGTTACTTTTCTTGATGTTAATTGTTTACTTCTATACAAATGATACTCCAAATAGTAGCAGAGTTTCTTTTATTCTTATTCCTACTTTTTTAAGTGTCATCAACAGGATGTCTACAATATCTTAAAACCCAACATAACATTCTTTATAAAAGCCATATTCTTCCCACTGAGAACATCCCGATACTCTCTGCTCCCCCTTCACACTGACACTACCATTCTAAATCTCATAAGCCAGACATGTCATCACTGACCCGTCTGCTTTAGCCACTCTATTCAGCCATTTGTCTTTTCCTGTTACATCCTCATGATCATACTTCATATGAAAGTAATGTGGATTTCTGCGGAGTACCTGAGCTAAATATTCCAGACCAGGTGGGCAGTCTGGCCTAGGAGTCGGCGCTGGCATCCATGTTATTGGGGCACACTGATTTGGCAAAGGATATTTTCCAGGCTGATACTGAATAGTCTGGATACCACCACTTGGCTGATACAGAGGGAAGGTGCTGGGCTGTTGTGGACTGTAGTATCCCATAGGCAAGCCTCCTTGACAGCCTGCTGATGGAAAGACAGCTGGTCTAGGGGGCCCTGTGTACAAAAACAAATGCGAGTATTATACACTATTAAGATTATAACATGGAACTTAACATGACTTTTTAAACAAAGATGATCTGGGTCACATGACATATTCTTAAAAATAACAAGAGGCTTCATTTTCAGAAGGCTACCACGTACTAAGGTAATTTACAGGTTTACTCATTTAATACTCTCCAACCTTATGGCATACTTATCCTCATTTCAGAGATGCAAAAGTAAGGTTTGAAACATTAACTAATTTGTCAACACCTCTGTGCCTTAGGTTGCTGTGGGATTAGAACAAGGCCTGGCACATAAATTTTTGTTATTATGTTTATTATTATTTTCTAAGGTCACAAAGATTGGTGGTGTTGTTAGCTGCCATCAAGTTGACTCTGACTCATGGTGACCTTATGTATAACAGAATGAAACACCATCCAGTCCCGAGCCATCCTCACGATCATTAGTATGTTCGAGCCCATGGAAGCCATTTAACTCCAAAGGGGCACTTTTAATGACTATGCTGTTTGCCTAAGATTCAGTCACATGTTTGTACCCTTATCATCTATTCCTAGACTGTTCACCATTCCAACATCTCTTAGATTCAACTTCTTAAACTTCTCTCTCCACCATGTCTCTACCCCCTACTCCACCTCCAACCAGGGATCTGATGAATTTTGACTCCATCATTACAAACCACAGGCTAGGGAAACAGATCTCCTTAGCAACACAGTATTTCGCAACATTTTATTAACAGCACTTTTAGTATCAAATTAGCATGCAACAACTAATATGTGACTTCAGGATTTTTTTTTTTAATCAAGGGTCTCTTAAGATGAACACTGATAACTGCATTTCACAATGATTTTTTTAAAATTCAAAGAATTGCCATCATGTAGATATGAGAAGACCTGTACTGCCAAGATGTACCTATAACTACCAGAACGTTTTTGAATAATTTTGATCTTTAATTTTTTTGTTTTGCATTCCAGGTTTTTAAAATTAATTAAATCATGCAAGTAGCTGGGCCAGGTCGGCTACAAAGAAGTACCTACTCCTAATGCTTTATAGCCTTAGCTGAAATCCTATCAATAGTAGGGCCACAAGCAGCCCACCAGGGCCTCTCTCTAAAGTGCCAGAAAGGTCAAACCCTGACAAAAGAATCCCCCTCTAATAGATTTTAACAATATCTTGTGGTAAGTCCGTGATTGAAAACAAAGTAAGTCAAAATATTTCATTTTAAGATTTCACTAAAGACCTATTTTAGTTAAAATTAAATAAACCAACTTTATGTTAACAGAGAATTCTAGCTGAGACTTGACCTGCAAAATCTGCTGAAATCTTGATGGCTAGCCATGAAGGAGTTTGCCTTTTTAAAAACAGAATTAGATTTTCTAGATTTCTAAGGGTGGATGTTTGGATTCATTTCTTAGTTTTAGAATAAAAATAGTGTGAGATGTGGTCCAAGTTCATTCCTTTTATGCGGGTATTCAGTTGTCCAAGCAGTATTTGCTGAAAAGACTATTCTGTCCCCCATTAAATTAATTACTTTGGCACCCTTGTTGAGAATCAATTGACCATAAATGTAAGGATTTTTTTTCTGGACTCTCAATTTTACTCCACTGATCTATGTCTATCCTGATGCCAACACTACACTTTCTTGATTACTGAAATTTTGTAGTAAGTTTTGAAATCAGGAATTGAGTCCTGGTTTGTCCAAATTTGTGCTTTTTCAATATTATTTCTGGGTCCCTTGCAATTCCATATGAATTTTAAGATCAGCTTTTCAATTTCTGCAAAAAACCCTGTTGAGATTTTGATAAAAATTGTATTATATCTGTAGACCAATCTGAAGACAGCCATATTAACAATATTTGAAGACTGACATGTTCCAATCTATGAACATGACGTCTTTCCATTTATTTCGGTCTTCATTAATTTCTTTTAAAAATGTTTCGTAGTTCTCAGTGTACAAGTCTTATACTTCTTTTATTAAATTTATCCCTATGTATTTTATAATTTTTGATGCCACTGTACATGGAATTATATTCTTCCTTTCATTTTCAGACTGTTCATTGCTAGTATATAGAAATGCGACTGATTTTTGTATACCGATCTTGTGTTATTAATGCCACATTGCTGAACTCGTTATTAGTCTGTGTGTGGGTGTCTGTGTATTCCTAATGATTTTTTATGTACAAGATCATGTTATCTGTAAACAGAAATAGTTTTGTTGCTTCCTTTCTAGTCTGGATGCCTTTTATTACTTTCTTGCCCACTGGTCCGGGTCAGAATTCCAGTATAATGTTGAGTAGAAGTGGGTGAGAGCAGACATCCTGTCTTGCTGCTACTCTTATGGGGAAAACATCCAGTCTTTCACCATTAAATATGATGTTAGCTATGGGGTTTTTTGTAGATACGTTTATCAGGTTGAGAAAATTCTCTTCTAATCCTACTTTGTTGAGAGTATTGTTTTTTAATCATAAAAGGGTGTTGGGTTTTGCCAAATGCTTTTTATACATCTATTGATGCAGATGATCACATAGAGTTTGTCCTATATTCTATTAACATAATATATACATAGATTTTGGAATGTTAAAGCAACCTTGCATTCCTGGGATAAAGCCTACTTGGTCATAGTTCATACTTCTTTTTATATGTTGCTGGATTTGGCTTGCTAGTATTTTGTTGAGGATTTTTGCTTTTGTGTTCATAAAGGCTATTGGTCTGTTGTTTTCTTGTGATGTTTTTGTCTGGTTTTGGTATTAGGGTCACAGGGATTGTTGTGGATTGAATTATGTCCCCCCAAAATATGTACTGAAAATCCTAACCTCTATGCCTGTGTTTATAATACCATTTGGGAATGGGCTGTCTTTGTTATGTTAATGAGGCAGAATAGTATAGGGTGTATCTTAAGTCAATCTCCTTTGAGATATAAAAAGAGATTAAACAAGCAAGCAGAGAGAGAGACGGGGTAAGATAGATGCCAAGACACAAGGAGATCTCCAAGGAACCAGGAAGCAGAAGCTAAAAGAGACAAGGACCTTCCTCCAGAGCTGACAGAGAAAGCCTTCCCCTAGAACCAGCACCCTGAATTCAGACTTCCAGCCTCCTAAACTTTGAGAAAATAAATTTCTTTGTTAAAGCCACCCATTTGTGGTATTTCCGTTACAGCAGCACTAGATAACTAAGACAGTGACCTCATAGAATAAGTTGGCAAGTGTTCACTCTTCCATTTTTTGGAAGAGTTTGTGAATAACTATTGGTAATTCTTCTTTAAACATTTGTCAGGCTAGTTGTTTTACAGCGTTGTTCAAGTCTTCTATTTCCTTGTTGTTCTTCTGTCTAGTTGTTCTACCCATTACAGAAAGTGGTTTCCAACTATTACTGTTAGATTGTCCATTTTTCCTTTCAATTCTGTCAGTTTTTTGCTTCACATATTTTAGGTGCAAATATGCATATAATTGTTACGGTCTTCTTGATGGATTGACCTTTTAATCACCAAAAATGTCCTTCTTTATCTCTAGTGACAACTGTTTCCTTACAATCCATTTTGTCTGATATTAGTGTAGCAGTTCATTGACTTACCAACAACTAAGTTGGAGAAATAAGCTTCTGATACAGTGTTTTACAAAACTGTATATCTATTTGATCAATTTAGTGATTCACGATTGCAATTTTTAAAAATAAAACAGGCTAGACTGGAGTAAAATAGCATAGAGAACATCAAACTGTATTGCCAGGATTGACTATTGTTTAGGGAAATTTTTGTTATACACACACGTACGCATATGTATGTATTGTTTACTGTGAGTCACAGCAGACAGTCATCGGGAAGTTTGGAAGCCTAGTGGTGATGAATGCACATGATGGATGTAACTAATGTCATGAACTGTGCACATAAAAAATGTTGAAATGGTAAAGGTTTTGTTATATATATATCTAAACTCGTTGCCGTCAAGTTGGTTCCAACTCATAGCGACCCTATAGGACAGACTAGAACTGCCTCATAGAGTTTCCAAGGAACGGCTGGTGGATTCAAAATGCCGATCTTCTGGTTAGCAACCAAGCTCTCAAGCTCTTAACCACTATGCCACCAGGGATTCATGTATATATACACACACACATACTCAGGAATATATATATATATATATATATATATACACATATATATATATGAAATGTAAAAATCACTGCTTTAAAGAACCTTTTATTTAACCAATGTAAAGTAAGCAATGATTCTGGATTAGAGATGATGGAATGTTATAAAATTGCTGTGCATAATCATATAAGAGTTTGTATTACCATGGCTGGAGCTGCCCTCTGCAGATTCTCTCCTTGAGAAAAAAAAAATCTTACCTATAGATTTCAACTGTACTTTCTTTCTGAAAATTATAGCTTGCTCTTGATGTATGTATGTGCATGAGTGTGTGTGCTTTCTTTTTATGAATGTTCAAAAATTATCAAGATATTGATCCAGATGATGGCTAGAAGGTATTGGAGGCCTTATTCATGTCCAGGTAAGAATGCTAAAGGGACAAGACTTGGATTGTAGAAATCCAGCTTGGGTTGTGATGTTGAAGATCCACAAATGGTGTTATACATCACTAAATAATCCAGGCTTAGGGACTGTGTGTCTGTAAGACTAGGGAGCATGTTCAATCCAACAGCAATGCCACACAGCTTTGTAGGGTATAGACTGAAAGCTCCTGAAAAGTGTGGGCACTCCCATTGGCAGTGTTCTTTGACGAGGCCCCTCCTGCAGAATGAAGACTTGAGAGAAGGGGTAAGGTGGAAACTATGTCTTCTCTCAGAGACCCCACCAATCCTGGACACCATGCAGATCTGGAATGAACACCTGTTAGGGGAATCTATGTTGACTATGCAAAAAAAAAAAAATCTAATACTTACTGAACTTTTATTATTATGTTCCGTGCACCGTTCTACCTGTTTAACAAGTAATAAATTCTGTGATCTTTACATGAACCCTGTGTGAAAGGTACTATTAATATTCTTAATTTACAGAGGAAGAAACTGAGGCACAGGTTGATTAAATAACTTGTTGATAGTCACTAGCTAGAGCGAGAATTAGACAGAGCCAGAATTAGAACTCAAGCATTCTGACTGCAGAGATGCCCTTAACTAAATTATGCTCACACTTCTCCCTAGATCAGAGGCTAGGAAGAGGAGCACCCAAAGGAGGTTCTATGGGGGATCTTGTGCCTGCAGAATGAAAGAGCAACTCTAGCTAGTAGGTACTTTTAGGTCTGTAAGTTCTGCACCCTCCATGGGACATCAGAGTACAGGACAAGCAGCACAGTTGGCAGAAATCTGACCTCAGGACAGTGGAGGTGACCACACAGGGGCAGAGCAGGCGTTTGGAGTTGGCTAATGCTAAGAAGGCTGGTCGCCACCAAACTGGACCTGAGGAACATGGGGGCACCCCCTGGAACTCTCGGAAGTGCTCAAGGATGAGAACTGGAGCAAAGATGGACTTTCCACAGATAAACTGGACCAAGGCTCAGAGTCCTGTGATTTGGGCACTAAAGGGATGAGTGGTCTCTGAAGTGGATGAAGTATGGACACTTCAGCTACTCATACAAATCCCCACTCAAGAAAATTATGAATTGTGAAACTAATTCTCCTAGTACTATCTGAAAACAAGGCCATGAGATAAATCAAACACGTTTCATCTAGGAATCCTTCCTCAAGCCCATTTCAGGGACCAGCTGCTGTGCTTGCTGCTAGGGACTGAAAAATGTACAGACACATACCTGTCCTCGGACAGCCATTTCTATGGGGGATACACAGGTTAATTTAAAAAAAAGAAGTGGTTACCATGAAGCAAATAACTGGTATAATCACAGGGAGACACATGGTGTGTTAAAGGATTAGAGAGGAGGGGCACCTAAACTAGGCACAGGAGGACAGTGAAACCTGTGAGAGCCGGAATGCGACGGGACTGCCATGTTTCTCCGGGTCTTGAAAGTTTTTCCGCCTTTGACAGGGTGCTGTCTTACCACTTTTTTATCGCTCATTTTAGTGGAAAATATTTGAGTTTTCCTTCTCTGACAGGTTCCCACCTTATACAGGTTGCGGCTTTCGCGGTGGTTAAGAGCTACGGCTGCTAAGCAAAAAGTCAGCAGGTGAAATCCACCAGCCACTCTTTGGAAACCCTATGGGGCGGTTCTACTCTGTCCTACAGGGTCGCTATGAGTTGGAATCGACTAAACAGCAATAGGTTTGGGTTTTTTTTTTTGGTTTTGAGCTTTGAAGTTGCCATTTAGGGTTATGATGGGCTCTGCAGGAAAACAAAACAAGTTTTAACTTTGTTTAACTATACTATCCCACACTTATTTTAATAAAGATCTCTATATGAAACACCATCCTACCAAATCCAGTGTGAGAAATATTGCCTTATGGGATTTGTGTTTTCTTGGTTATTTTGAATAATATCATCTTTTTTATTTTAAGAAATTATGACATTTTCTCTCTAAATACGCTACATATAACAAAGGTTTATCAAGATATTCTTTTAAACATATTTTGGGCAAAATTCTTTTCTGTTGGAACACATATTCAGTACTATTTAGAGAAATTAATTAAGGCCAAATATTTGAAGTATAGCCATTCCTCAACATGAATTACAGGGACTCATTTAGTGTCACTCACCCTGGTGGTGCAGTGGTTAAGAGCTTTGCTGCTAACCAAAAGGTCGGCAGTTCAAATCCACCAGCTGCCCCTTGGAAACTCTATGGGGCAGTTCTATTCTGTCCTATAGGGTCACTATGAATCAGAATCGACTCCATGGCAACGGTCTTGGTTTTTGGTATATCATATGTAAGTATCTAGCCAGCCACCAGGTGGCAATCTCAGTGAATTTTTGTTACAAAATTTCATAAATAAAAATTCGTTAGTTGTGAGCTAAGTCCTACACTATTTTTCACTTTATCTAGTTGGTTAATTTGAAGGATGTTTCTTACTCTTGTGCTAGTTTTTTTCACATAGGAATAAGTAAACATTTTTCCAGAGGAGCAGAACATAATTTTAACCAGTGTTTGCTCCTTAGAAATGGTGGAGTTTCTGTTCTTATCACAGTGGAATCCAGGTGCTTGAATATAGAGTCATTGGTGAATTTAAGGTAGATTATGTTCAAAGTTACTGAAGGAAAATATAGAGAAATGGTCATATACAGCTTGGTTATCATTTAGGTTTGACAAAACCTTGTTTTTGAGCTAGTAATGGGGGGTTACACGGGATCATATACACATAACCTGCACACACATGAGGGAAAAAAGAAAAGGAAGCACTGAGGGGCAGAGGTAACCTGAGCATCACGGATCACAAATCTAGGGCCCAAACTTTATCTCACCCATCATCCTGTGGGTACTGGGGTTGCTTTTACCCTTTTAGAGCCTAGCTCAGTGGTTTTCACCTTTAAACATACCTTTCAAGTATAATATTTAAAAAACTATCACTGCACGTTATCATCATTTCCTAAGTCATTAAAAATGTATTTGACAATGTTGAATTGGCAAACGCTGTGTTATATGTATTTTTACAACAATAAAAAAATGTATCTCAACAGAAGGCTGATTAAAACTATTTTCTTAGTCAAAAGTCAGTACACTTTTTACTTCACACACTGCCAAAACACTTTCTAAAAAGACTGTAGTAATTCCAATTCCCACTAGTGAACAAAAGAATCCATTTTCCTGAGTCCCTACCAGACTTATAAAAATATTTGAAAAATATTTGCCAGAACTACAAGCTCCTTTACTCAGCACCCAAGACCCTTCAGCTCCATTTCTCCACACGTCTCCTGCCATTGTCCCATACATGCCCCAGACCAGGCTTTTCATGACCTTATGATTTTGGGTATGTTGTTCTTTTTGCCAAGCACCGTCCTTTACCCCTTTTCTTTGATTGGGATACTCCACATCATGCCAGCAAAACCTGACTTCCTCAGTAAAGGCTTCCCTCAAATCTCTGGAAGGGTCTGAGCCTCTACATTTTGTTCAGATTTTCACAATAGTGAGTATGGAGAAAGCTTCATTATTTGCGCAACTTTCTTCTTCAGTAACTTGTAAATCCTTTGATGGAAGGAATCTATTCTAACTGACATCTAATAAATTATTGACACCCAGTAGGTGTTCAGTATTTACTGATTGAAATCACTCAACTGTTAATTCAAAAAGAAACCTTAACTATTAGTATGGTTTTGGGAGCAGGAGGAGATTCTGAATATTTAACCTACCTGGAACAAAATGGGAATTGTAGCCAGGAGGGGCATCAGGTCTTGGATCTTGTGACTTTATTTGCTTTTCCATTTCACTAGCTGGTTGTTCAGGAGCTGTGGGGACTACACCTTAGGAGGAGAGAGGGGACATGATTTACAAAGGGAAAATTAATAACCGAATATACTTCTTTATTGCTGGTATAAATCAATGAATGCAAATATGAAATAAACTAATTTATTTCTTATAAAAATATATACATTATGCATGACATATTAAGCATCGCCTATTTATGCATTTGGTGGACTTTTAGACTGAACATTCATAGACATCCTAAAGGACAGAGTAGAATTGCCCCATAGGGTTTCCAAGGCTGTAATCTTTATAGAAACAGTCTGTGACATCCTTCTCCTGTGGAATAGCTGGTGGATTCGAACTGCCAACCTTTTGGTTAGCAGCTGAGTGTTTTAACCACTGCGCCACCAGGACTCCTTAGACTGAACACAGATTAAAAAATAAAACTGAGAAACTATATTGTGCTTGTGATCAAAGTGAGCTGCCCTACTAGCGGTTCAGCTGGCTCTTCTCTGCATAAATAAATTTCTTCCGAGGTAGCAGAAAGTCTTTGTTCTATTATATAATATAGAGAACACAGGCAGCTATAGAGCACATCTGAATTTTCTCCCAAATTCTTTTCGGAAAGTGACTGTGTCTAAATAAATTCAAACTGTAACACCATAAATGCTTAACGGTTTAAAAAGCAATTAGACATGATTTAGTTGGTAATGCCAATGAATCATATTTTGCCTTATTCTTCCTACAAGCGACCTGGGTCACGTAATTACTGCAAAGGAGATGGTGAGGTCACTTTACATAATGTTACACCCAATCCTTTCGTTGATATTGGAGGAAATTCTCCCTGGACTCAGTATCACGAATAGTTCTTCATCGTCAAAAGAACAGGCTGACTTCTGTATCGTAGAAAACACAAGCTTCGTAACTGTGGATTTCTCTCCTTACACAAGTTGCTAGAAAATGCAGGGCCCACTCTCCAACCCTCCTCTATCAAGGCAGGCTGTCATGGCAGACTTTTTATTCTATATCTCTTCTGCCAGATTTACTTTCCTACCCTATTTTTCTTGTATCTAGTTTTTCCCACATACTTTAAATATCTTTCAGTACATATAAACCAAGGTAAATCCCTTTTAATCCACATAGTTAGACAAGAATGTTCACATGTATAAATAAATAGATGTACATTCCCCAAATGTTAAACAATAATAAAAACAACTTCAAAATAAATTCAATATGTTTATAAGGAAAGCAATCACACAATTCACATCTGTAAATGAAGCATATTTGAAATTTGTTCATAAAAGACTTACCTGACATTTTGAAGAATTATTCCTGTAAAACAAAACATTTTAATGTCTTAAAATACATTATATATATATTATTACTTAATAATATGTATAATAAGTTTTGTAATTATTTAGCATCAAGTTACCTTTCATTCATTCCTTCCTTAAGTCAATAAATACATACTGAGTGTCTATTATGTATCAGGCACTACTATTGTTGTTAAAATACAGTAGAAAATCAGACAGATAAAGTGTTCACCCTGCTGGGGATTATACTCTATGGGGCAAGATTAAAAAACATGCTAACAAATACTTAAGGTTAAATTTATACAGCACTAAACCCATTGTCATCAAGTTGACTCCAGCTCATAGTGACCCTATAGGACAGAGTAGAACTGCCCCATAGGGTTTCCAAGGAGCAGCTGGTGGATTTGAACTGCCGACCTTTTAGTTAGCAGCCGTAGCTCTTAACCACTGTGCCACCAGGGCTCCTTACATGGTAGAGTTATGTAGAAAACAAAACATAAAGTTTAAGAATAAATGACACATGGATGGGCAGTGCCAGAAGGGTCAGGGAAAGCCCTCTGAGGAGGTGACAATGGACCTATCTGAACTACAAAAGGAGGCATCACGCTAAAATTTAAGAAGACAGGAAAGTCAGTGCAAGGACCCCAAGATGGGAATGATCTTGAAATATTCAAGGAGAGAAAGAGGGTAGGTGTGACTGGGATAGAGTGAATGAAGAGAACAGAGGTAAGAGATGTAAACCGATGTGAGATCATATCTGAAGGCCATGGCAAGACGTTTGAGTATGTGGTAACTTGTATAGTTAGGAAGTCTTTTGAGGATTTTACTCAATGGAGTGACCATATCTGATTTATACTTTATCCTGCAGAGCTGGTGGCGGAAGCAAGAGTGGAAGCAGCAGCAATGAGGGTGCAGCTGCAGTAATCCAGGTGAGAGCTGATACTAGTTTAGCCTGGGGAAGTAACACTGGAGAGGGTTAGCACGGTCAGATGCATGGCATAGTTTGGAAGGAAGCTTCAGGAGTTGCTGATGGACTGAGGTAAAGACAGTAGTCAAGGATAGTTCTCTTTTTTTTTTTTGGCCAGAGTAACTAAGTTATTATGACATCATTAAATGAACTACGCCCAGAAGCCGTTCTGCAGGAGAAAAGACCTGGTGATGTGCTCTCGTAAAAATTTCAGCCTAGGACATCACCAAATTAATACCATTTACAACAGCCCCCAAGAAGATAAAATAATTAGGAATAAATCTAACCAGAGACGTAAAAGACCTATACAACGAAAACTACAAGACACTACTGCAAGAAACCAAAAGAGACCTGTGTAAATGGAAAAACATACCTTGCTCACGGATAGGAAAACTCAACATTCTGAAAATGTCAATTCTACCCAAAGCAATCTACAGATACAATGCAATCCCGATCCAAATTCCAATGACATTTTTTAATAAGATGGAGAAACAAATCACCAACTTCATATGGAATGGGAAGAGGCCCCAGATAAGTAAAGCATTACTCAAGAAGAACAACAAAGAGGGAGGCCTTGCACTACCTGATTTTAGAATCTATTATACTGCCACGGTAGTTAAAACAGCCCAGTACTGGTACAACAGATACACAGACCAATGGAACAGAATTGAGAATCCAGACATAAATTCATCCACCTATGA